TTTTTGATCAAGGCTGGGTTTGAACCCACCACCTCCAGCATATGGGGCCAGCGCCTTACTCCTTTGAGCCACAGGTGCCGCCCTATTTTTTATTCTTTTTATAGCCATGTAGCACCATACTGTGCAGATGTATCATAGTTCATTCAACTCATCTCCTATTGATGGACAGTGAGTCTTTTCTAGTTCTTTTGCTATATCAAATTATAAAATTTTGCTGTAAAAAAACAGCCTTGCATATGCATCTTTTCATATTTTTGTGAGTGTATCTTTGGGACATTTTCTTAGAAATGGGATTTCTGAGTCAAAGCATGTATAATTTTGCTAGAGTGTTGCTGGGTTCCCTGCTGGATTCCCTTCTGCATTCCTGTCAGTGATGTCTGAATATGTTCAGCACTAATCTTTTTGTTGTTGTTGTTGAGACAGCCTCACTTTGTCACCCTGGGTAGAGTGCCATGGTGTCACAGCTCACAGCAACCTCAAATTCTTAGGCTTAAGTGATCCTCTTGTCTCAGTCTCCCAAGTAGCTGGCACTACATTGCGCCTGGCAATTTTTAGAAATGGGGTCTTTCTCTTGCTCAGGCTGGTCTTAAATTCTTGAGCTTAGGCAGTCCACCCAGCTGGGCCTCCCAGAGTGCTGGGATTACAGGCGTGAGCCACTGTGCCTGGCCCCGGTCTGATCTTAAATATCTTACTGAAGAGGTTTGTCCAAGGTCTTCCACATCTAAAGTAGCTCCACGTTGGGCTGCAGTTGGAGGTATCAGTATGAACTCTGATCTCTTCAATAGCTATATCAGCTATATCAAGATAGATACATAAATACACATGTCTGTTATGCATGGGTTAGTGTATGCATATGTATTTCCTAGCTCTGTCCACCAACAGGGCCTAAAAGCAATGACACTTCAGTACCAGGAATAAACCCAGTGCCCAAATCTTAGTTTCTAAATATCTCTTTAATAAGAACTAGATTTCCCTTGGAAAAATGGCTGGTTTCAGGAATGAGGAATGGGAAATGACAAGATGAGCCTAGGGCATCTTATGGTCAATTAAGGTACCAAAGGAGAGAGGGGGGTTTGTAACAAAAAGATACAGGAGTCAACCTGAAGAAGCTTCCAGTGGCTAAAGGTGAATAACACATAGTATAAAAAAAAAAATTGGGGGAGGGGGACAGACAGAGTCTCACTCTGTTGCCCAGGCTAGAGTACCATGGCCTCAGGCTAGCTCATTCACAGCAACCTCTAACTCTTGAGTTCAAGCAATCCTCCTACCTCAATCTTCTGAGTAGCTGATACACCAGCCTAATTTTTCTAGTTTTACTAGAGACAGTCTTGCTCTTGCTCAGACTGGTCTTGAACTCCTGACCTCAGGAGTTGAGCTCAAGTGATCCTCCTGCCTCAGCCTCCCAGCATGCTAGGATAATAGGCATGAGCCACAGTGCCTGGCCTAGAATAAAATATCCATCTGCAAATCCATAATGATATAAATAAATTACTTTCCTCTCCTGGGAATGGATTAATTCCCTAGAGAGCAGGCTATATTAAAAAGAGTCTGGTTTCCTTGAAATTCTTTTGAAAGGAACAGATGTGGGTACTTAGCCCTGAAGGTTAAGTGCACTGACTAAGTAAGATCAGGCAAGTGTTAGTTGAATTGATATATTTTTCTTCTTCTTTTTTTTTTTTTTGAAACAGAGTCCCACTATGTCACCCTCAGTAGAGTACTGTGGCATCACAGCTCACAGCAACCTCAAACTCTTGGGCTTAAGTGATTCTCTTGCCTCAGCCTCCCGAGTAGCTGGGACAACAGGTGCCTGCCACAACACCTGGCTATGAACTGATATATTTTCATGTTGTCTCATCACACACTTTTATTTAGAAAAAAAAAACTCAACATCTTCCTCCTTCCACCCTCCACCCCAATGCCTGTTGAGTTTCACACACGCCTCCTAATGGGACTGGCTAGATGGCATCACTCTGGCACTTTGATTAAGTTAGGAAATTAGAAGTTAGTGCCCTTTCCACCTCCTAAGGAATGGCCACCACTCCCATCCCATAGTCCTTCCCTTTCACAAAGGAGACTGTGGCCACATCAAGGAAGTACCTGGTCACTGGCAGGTCCAGGGTGGGGACCAGGATCCCCAGTTACTGGCCAGAGAATCTGCACTTCTCAGAGCTGTCATGGTGGCTAAAGCAGGGGCAGCTTGTCCCAGAACCACTACAGGGGAAAATCCAGGTTCCAGCAAATGCTTTTCCTCAACATCCGCTTTCTGTGTCTCTTTCCTAATCACAAGGTACAAACTCTGTATAGCTGGAAATCTAAATGGCCACCCAAAGAAAGGGGGGCTCCCCTTAGCCAGTTACTGTAAGGTCTATGGTAATGCTACACCTCGGGAAGTTTTTTTTTTTTTTTTATCAATTTTTTTGATGAAAATCAATATTTTCCTAAAAATTTCCCAACTTCTATGCTTGCCTGGAACAGCCAGGGTAGGCAATTTCCTGTGCTGGAATCCCTGTGGGTTTCCCAAACCCCACAGAGGGGAAGTTTAGAAATGGCATCAGTTCAGTTGCACAAGATTCCCTCAAGCCAGCCTGTGCCGGCCCCAGGGGTCAGTGAGGTAGGAAGGCCTCAGAGCTTGGTGTCCACACAGAGCTGGTGGGTCTGTGGCTTGTTCCTTCAGTCCAGAGATTCAGCAGCACATCAGTGTGTGGGCTGTAGACTGGGAATCCCCATGAACTCCCAGGACTACCCGTCAGCCTCTGCCGAGACCAGGGTGGAGGTACATACACTGATTCTGTGAAATAGATGGGGCCAAGGGCAAAACCAAAACTGAGTGGCTCCTGCGCTGACTCACACCCTATGACAGCAACAGCAAAGACTTATTTCATCTTGCAAATTGGGGATTCTTACATAGCCAAGTAACAGAGGTGGTCTGCAGAGTTCCTGAATCCACTGAAATTGTCACCAAAGTTGCGTGTGTGAGAGTGTATCTGTATTCATCACTTCTTTTTTTTTTTTTTTTTTTTGAAATAAAATCTCATTATGTCACCCTTGGTAGAGTGCCGTGGGTCAGAGCTCATAGCAAACTCAAACTCTTGGGCTTAATCAATTCTCTTGCTTCAGCCTCCAAGTAGCTGGGAATACAGGCTCCTGCCACAATACCTGGCTATTTTTTGGTTGCAGTTGTCATTGTTGTTTGGAGGGCTGAGCTGGGATCAAACCCGCCAGCTCTGGTGTATGTGGCTGGCGCCCTAACCACTGAGCACAGGTGTGGAGCCTGTATCCATCACATTGTCTTTGAATAAAAAAAAAAACAAAAAAAACAGAGAGAGAGAAAGTGTAGGTATAGGGAGGAGGGCACATGTGTAGATATTCAGGGCACAAGGATCACTCAGCAAATGGATGGAACCCTGCCCTCGACAACCTCTACCTGTGGGGAGGCACCTGGAACCCACCCTGGCACACACTGAGCACAGCAGCCTGGCTCTTAGCGGGGCATGGGCTGCATGCCAGACGGACTTCAGATGACCTACTCCTTTTCCATCCTGGTCTGGGGGCAAGAGGCTGTCTCCTCTTGCTCAGCCACGTCTGGCCCTGGCCCCTGCCCAGCACAGCTGCTTGCTGTACATCACAGGGCCCAGATCCCCACCGCGAGGTCAGGAAGTGCTCCCCACCACGGGCCACACAGCCCAGTGCTTTTTATTTTCAAAACCTGGCTTGTGGTCACTGAGCCAGGTAGCCAGAAAAAGAGTTTTTAAAAAAGACTCACAAACATATAATTAAAATCTCAGTGTTGGTTTGGGGGGAAGGCACTGGGAGGCTCCCTCCCCTGCTTTCCGGAAACACAGATTTTTAGCTTTTGAAAGTGACAAGATGCTAAAGTGACACCACCCTAAATACACTGTCCTGGGCATTTCCGTTCAGGGGAATATGATTTATTCCTCAACCGCGGCCTCTTTCAGATTATTATACCAGCCCCCGCCAGGGCCACCTTCTGTCTCATCTCCAGCTGCCTGCTAGCCCGGCCTCCACAGAGTCCTCCAGCCTGACACTCACCGCACTGCCCCTGCTGCCCCCACCCCCTGTGCTCCCCAATAGCCCATGTCCTGGTCCACATCTGGTGGCCTACAGGCACCTCCATACCTGTGCAGGTGGGGTCCCCTCTGTCTAGAGGGTCCTCCCTGCCTCCTCCGTTGACCAAGATTCTGTCCCATCTTTTAAGGCCAGTTCCAGTGTCACTTCCTCCAGGGAGCCTGCTCGGATCCCACCACCCAGTGGGATCCTCCCACTTCCCCAGCCCCTGACTGGCCTCTCCAGGAGATGGTCCCTCCTGCCCTGGTTTTTCTTGTTCCTTTCCGTGTCTCCCTCCTTCCTCCTTCACCTTGTTCCCAAAAGGGAATCTGGGTCCTTTGCCCTCCGCTGTTTTGGGGTAGTCACTTGCCCTGCCCTGCCCTCGGTCCTTCCATGGTAGGCCTTTGCCCTTGTAGTGCCCTGACCCTGGCAGAGTCCCACTCCTGCCTTAGCCCGCCTCAGCTGTCATCAGCTCCAAGTCCTCCTCCCGGTGTCCCATTCAGGCAGTGCGCAGAGTCTGGATGGCTTGTGTCTCCCTTAGATGCCCTGGGTTATATCCCTGTTCACCAGGTTTCCCTGGGAGAGTCTGTCCCTTTCCCTATTGGGATCTGATGTCACTCTCCCCTGTAGCCTAGGAGCTCTCGGGGGTGCGGTGGGGATCCCAGCCTTTGTCTCACTATGGATACCAAGGCCATCTGGGGGTTGAGGGGTATGAGCAGGATTTGAGGATCAGGGCCTATTGCTCAACCCCCAGGCCTGGGGCTCAGGTTGTGCCTGACTATAGGACGTCTCTGAGCTGTGTCTACATTTCGGAATCCTGTCTACACCCAGGCCTCCCAGGGTCTCCTGGGCAGCGGGTGATGGCAGGTGACACCCAGCTCTGTGGCTCTGGAGCCTGAGCCATCCCAAGTGACTGGCACCACTTTGTCTTCCAGTGGAGCGAGACCACACCCTGGGCCACCAGGAGCCCTGTTGGAAGGAGTTCCGTTTTGACCTGACCCAGATCCCCGCAGGGGAGAGGGTCACAGCTGCGGAGTTCCGGATTTACAAGGCGCCCAGCACCCGCCCACTCAACAGGACTCTCCGTGTCAGCATGTTCGAGGTGGTGCAGGAACGATCCAACAGGTGCCTTCCCCTTGGCCCAGGCGCCTGCCCCGCCTCAGGGTCTCATGGTCAAGGCTCTGGTGGGGTGTCCTGCCCAGTGGGCACTGGTGTTGGGGAGGGGGAGGGTAATTTCCCAGGGGAAGGAAAAGGGAGCCTCAGAGATGGGAAAGATGTTTGGCCTGAGGCTTCTGGGCATTTGGGGAAGAGCTGAGAGATAGTCCTGCCATCAGGTCCTCATCCTGCCACCTTGGCTGTGGGACCTTGGGCAGGTCACTCTGCCTCAGTTTCTCCATCTGTACTCAGGCCCAGTAACAGCTTTGTGGGTTGATTCAGTGAGAAGAGACGTGGAAGGAGCCAGCCCAGAGCCAGGGTGGGCAGATGCTCCAGTGATGGTCCCCAGGTGGCACTAGGAACTCCGGAGCAGCTGTGCAGCCATCGGTTAATTGTTCTTTCGTGTCCACAGGGAGTCTGACTTGTTCTTTTTGGATCTTCAGACGCTTCGAGCTGGGGACGAGGGCTGGCTGGTGCTGGATGTCACAGCAGCCAGTGACCGCTGGCTGCTGAGCCGTAACAAGGACCTGGGACTCCACCTCTATGTGGAAACTGAGGACGGTGAGGCTGCCCCCCTGGGGCCCAAGAGGCTGTCCCAGCCTGAGGGTGGCCTCACATGGCTCTGGGCGTCCTGCTGTTCCCAGCTGTGCCCACTGTGAGGGTCGATGACGTGCATAGAGTGAGGTCCTGGACAGGAGGAGGCCCTCCACAGGGGTGGGGCCCTGCTCTCCTGCAGAAGAGAGGAGTCCCTGTCTTTGTTTCCCCAGGTCATGGGCAGTTCTTACCCTGAGCAGCTTCCCTACTGGGAAGGGGAGGCAGGAGGGGGCTGCACCCCCAGGCTCTGAGCCCAGGCGGCCTGGGTTTGGATCCCAGCTCGGCAATGCTCTGCCTCGGTGGCCTTGCTCACCTTCAAGCCTCAGTTTTCTCATCCTCATGGAGAGAATGAGATTCACTCTCACTCCACAGGTATTTTAGGGAAGAACCTCCTTTATACCAAGCAGTGGGGAAAGGCCGATGGTGGGCACAGGTTGGTGTTTGGGGTCCAGCAAGAGGGTGAGTGGTGCTACAGAGCCTGTGAGTTGGAAGGACCTGGGATTGAGAGAGGGTGATCGAGGTGGCTGAGTTAGGGTAAGCCAGAGAGAGGTGTTTGGAGTTTGGGGTGGTTGATTTTCATGAATAGCAATGGAGGATGACCAGATCTGATTCGGGCTGAGATAGTCACCCTCAAGGGGGAGGAGCCAATTCCCACCTGTTCTTGTGGGTGACACTCAGGGACTTGCTGCCTCAAAGGGCCCTGTGGATGGAGTGTGGCAGAAACTGCCCAGTGAGGAGCCAGGCAGGCAGCGCCTCAGCCCGGTGAGGAAGGTTCCCCACAGCACACAGTGTGGGGCATGGCACTTCCCCCGAGGTCTGTGCCCCCAGAACCATACCCCTCATCCAAACACCAGGAAACTATTCCACAGAACACCTGACAAGTACTTCTCCAGACTGTCAAGGTCATCAAACACAAGGAAAGTGGAGCCTAAGGCATCATAACAGCTAAATGCAGTGTGGTGTCCTGGACGGGATCCTGGGACGGTGAGGGACACTGGGGAAACTTTATTAAATCAGAATAAATGACAGCATTTTCTTTCTTTTTTTCAGCTTTTGGCTGGGGCTGGGTTTGAACTTGCCACCTCCAGCATATGGGACTGGCGCCCTACTCCTTTGAGCCACAGGCGCCACCCAATGACAGTATTTTCTTAGTAGTAGGATATGAAGTTTGTTTCCTTAGGTGTGACAAGGGTACCCTAAAAGGGTAAAATGTTAATATTTCTCAGGGAAACTAGGTCCAGGTATATGAGAACTCTCTATACATACTTTGAAATTTTTTCTGTAAATCTCTTCTGTTGTGAAATTAAAACTTTACTGAATATGCAAAAAATAAAGAATCAGCGACTTCATTGTGGAGGGCAGACAAGAAGGAAGGACGAGGGTGACTCCAGAGACGTGTAGAAGCCCCACGGTGGTTCGGGTGGGAGCCGTGAGGCACTTGCTGGTACAGAGATGGAGAAAGGAGGATGTAGGACTAGCTGGGGAGCAGGCGAGGAAGGGGAGGAGTCCTGGACGACCCTTGGGCAAAGCAGTGGGTAGTTGTTAATAGACATTTTTGTCCTGAGTGGGCAGAAAACAGGAAGGGCAGGTGTGAGGTAGAAAGTTCTGAGCTCTTCTTTGGCTGGAATATTGAGACCCCTGGGATCCTCTGGAGGACCCTGGACCTCACGGAAGTGCCATCCCAAGGACAGGTGCTGGAATGTAAGTGGGTTGATAGCCGTGGACTGGACAAGGTCACTTGAGGAAGGAGTGTGTCCCTGGAGACAAAAGGGGCAGCCCAGAGCTCTGCAGCCTCCACAGTAGGGACCAGGAAACCTGGAGGGCAAAGTGACCCAGACACCAAGACAGGAAATTGTCTGCAGGAGCAGGGAGTCATCTGTGTCCTGCTGTGAGCACTGAAGACAAGGACAGAGAAGTGCCCAGAGGATTTAGTCACAGGAGGTTGTTGATGACCAAGAGCTCAGCGTGGGGACAAAGTCCGATGGGTAGGTGAGGGGAGACCAGCAGTGGAGACAGTGGACAGCCCTTTCCAGAACCTTTGCTGGGGAAGGGGAACCAAGGAAAGCGCTGGTGACTGGACAGAAATGGGGACAGGGCAGGGCCTTTACAGGTTAGCAGACACTCGTGCACTCTGTGGGATGGGAGCGATTTAGTGGAGAGGGACGAAAACTGTAAGATTCCTGACCAGTTCAAGGGTGAGGTTCGGAGACAAGGGGGGCAGCCCCTTCAGGAGTCTGTGTGGGAGGGACGGTGTGCCCCACTGTCACATGAGGCCTAAGCTCTGGGGGTTTGTGGTGGGGCAGGCATCCACTCTGCCAGTTGTCACAGGATTAAAGCAGGGTGCCTGGCACACAGGGAGTGCTCAGAGAGGGGTGGCTCATCACTGTCAGTGTCACCCTGCTGTGTCCATTCCTTAGACCCTGGCAGGTCTGGGGGAGGCTCTGGAGGGTTTGCAGTTTCAGTTGGAACCCCCCCCCCACCCCCAGGGGAGGCGGGATTCAGGCCGTGGCGCGCCCAGGTAGAGCCTGGCCTTGGTTCTGTGCCCAGAGCGCGTGCGCGCAGCAAGGGTGGACGGAGGGCAGCACCTGCCCAGGCCTGCAGTGGCGACGCTACTGCGGCCCCCTGCCCTAGGTGGCGCGGGAGCGGCTCTCTTCCTGTTCCCGCGGTGGCCAGGCGGGAGCAGAGGCGCGCGTCACGGAGCGGCTGCCTTCTCTGCTCTGTGACGTAGTGGCAGGGTCCCGGGAGCGCACGCGGGGCGCCCCCCAGCCTGTCCCCGGCCTCAGAGCCGGGGCAGACGGACGATGGCCACGCGGCGGCTCCTGGCGGTGGTGCTTGGACGCTGTGTCCCCACCAGCCGCGCGGTGACCGCGCTGTCCCAGGGCTGCGTCCGGCGCCGTTTTGCCACCAGCTCCCGTCCATGCGCCAAATTCTACACGGACCCTGTGGATATGGTGAAGGACATCTCCGATGGGGCCACCATCATGGTCGGGGGCTTCGGGCTGTGCGGCATCCCCGAGAACCTGATCGGGGCGTTGCTGCAGACCGGCGTGAAGGACCTGAAGGTGGTGAGCAGCAACGTGGGCGTGGACGACTTCGGCCTGGGCCTCTTGATGGCCACCAAGCAGATCCGCCGCATCGTCTGCTCCTACGTGGGCGAGAACAGGCTGTGCGAGGAGCAGTACCTGGCCGGCGAGCTGGAGCTGGAGCTGACGCCGCAGGGCACCCTGGCCGAGCGCATCCGGGCGGGGGGTGCCGGGGTGCCCGCCTTCTACACACCCACGGGGTACGGGACCCTGGTGCAGGAGGGGGGCTCCCCCATCAGGTACTACCCCGACGGCCACCTGGCCATCATGAGCCAGCCGCGGGAGGTGCGTGAGATCGGAGGCCAGCACTACCTGCTGGAGCACGCCATCAGGGCGGACTTCGCCCTGGTCAAAGGCTGGAAGGCCGACCGCATGGGCAACGTGATCTTCAGGGGGAGTGCCAGGAATTTCAACGTGCCCATGTGCAAAGCTGCAAATATCACAGCCGTGGAGGTGGAAGAGATAGTGGATGTGGGGACTTTCCCCCCGGAGGACATCCACGTTCCTAGCATTTATGTAGATCGCGTGATAAAGGGGGGAAATTTTGAGAAAAGAATTGAGCGTTTAAGGTTCCAGGAGGAAGAAAGAGAAGCCCAAGTGGAGGAAGGCTCGAGGACGCGCATCATCAAACGGGCAGCCCTGGAGTTCCAGGACGGCATGTACGCCAACCTGGGCATCGGGATCCCGCTGCTGGCCAGCAACTTCATCAGCCCCAGCATGACCGTCCATCTTCACAGTGAGAACGGCATCCTGGGCCTGGGCCCATTCCCACCCAAAGACAAGGTGGACCCAGATCTCATCAACGCGGGCAAGGAGACAGTCTCGGTGATTCCAGGGGCCTCCTTTTTCGCCAGCGACGACTCCTTTGCCATGATCCGAGGGGGCCACCTCCACCTCACCATGCTCGGGGCGATGCAGGTTTCCAAGTACGGCGACCTGGCCAACTGGATGATTCCCGGCAAGAAGGTGAAAGGCATGGGCGGCGCCATGGATCTGGTGTCCAGTGTCAAGACCAGAGTGGTGGTCACCATGGAGCACTGCACCAAGGACAGCTCCCCCAAAATCATGGATAGGTGCACGCTGCCGCTGACCGGGAAGCGCTGTGTGGACCGCGTCATCACCGAGAAGGCGGTGTTTGACGTGCACAAGAAGAAGGGGCTGACGCTGATCGAGCTCTGGGAAGGCTTGACTGTGGACGACATTAAAAAGAGCACAGGGTGCAGCTTTGCCGTGTGCCCCAACCTCAGGCCCATGCAGCAGGTGGAGCCCTGATGTGGGAGGCAGCCCGTGGGCACTGAGCCTGTGCTTCTCAGGTCAGCCTGGCAGGGCCTCCTCAGAGGACGTGGGTCATGGCAGGAAATCATCTCACTGGCACTTGGACAGGCTCACCTCTGGGCTCTCAGACTTTCCTGCTAGACAGATGGGATTCTCTCTAGAGGGCTGTGATTTTAATAAACACATGCAAAAAAACAGGCAAGGTTATCTGGTATGGTCTTGAGCACAGCAAAGCACCCGCAACAGTGGGAGAGGAATGTGCCCTCCCCGGTGTCTGCGATGTGTACGTGTACGTTGAATTCTCCACAGCTGGGGGTATCCACAGCAGGCCCGACATTATACTACTGCGGTGACAAATAGAGGACCGTAAACGTGAGTTTGCACTGGGAGGAAGTGCCGGCCTCCTGAATGTTTGCCCCTGTAGCACCTCTGCCTTTTCTCCTGGGGCCTTTCATGGTGTTGATCAGTTTTGTTTCCCTGCAGCCCCCTCTCCTCCCCACATGTCTGCTCCTGGTACCTAAGTAGATGACCCCCAAGGAAAACAGGACCATCGTCGGGGATGGGGGGGAAGGGCAGACGGGGGAGAGACGGGGGAGGGGCTGCCTGTGCTGATGTCCCACAGTGTGTGTGTGGGGGGGTCCTGCAGGAAGAAACAGCCCATCTGTGTGGCCAAAGGCTACAGCTTGTGAATAAAGGAGGCCGAGAAAGCTCAGTGTGGGTCGAGATGGATTTTCCCCACTTCAGCGTTAGTGTTTCTGCTTCCTCCAGACACTTAGATCCTTCCTCCCTGTGAGGGGCCCTGACTGTGTGACACCCCTCAAGGACCCTGGAAGGGCTGTGAGGAATTTCACCCTGGATCTAAAGTGAAAAGGAGGACGTTTGTGTGCACACGTGTGTGCTGCCGTAGACCAAGCCTGGCATGGAGCGAGCACTGTGTGAGTGAGCTCCAGGGCTTCGCACAGCTGACAGGCTGGTGCGGGCCAGTGCAGTAAGTTCTAGGTGGTCAAGGACGGGGCTTCCTGAGAGTTGCCATTAGAGCCTCACCCCGACTCACCCCGACGGAAGGGCCAGATCCCGGGCAGCAGAGATGTGCAAGGAGAGATGGCACTCACTGAGGGGACAGCCTGGGCATGTGGGGAAGTGGCCAGGGACCAAGGCAGGGGGTGGGTGGGATGAAATGTCATGGAGTGGACAGTGGGGCCCCTTTGGGGTTTCTGGGGAGGTTGCAGCTGATTTGCCCTGGGTGTGAGGCGTTTTCTAGCAGGAGTGTGGAAAAGGCAGAGGTATCCAGGAGCACACAGGAGAGACGGCCCCACCTCTGCATTCCCGGGAAGGAACTGCCCAGCCCAGCACTGCCTGGGTTTCCCCCCAGCCTGCTGGAGCCTGCTGGGCTTGTCCAAGGACAGCGGCCACAAAGCAGAGCCAGTGGGAAGGGGAGCTCTGAGCTCTGGAAGGAGGGGCTGGGGACAAGCTCTGAACAAAGATCAGGGGCCAGTCTCCCCTCTATGTGCCCCCAGCCAGGCCTCTGCAGCTGGCTGGGGAAGGGTATGACTGTCCTGGCTCTGTCCTGCTTTGCTCTGGGACCTGAGCCATTGCTGTTCTCTGAAGCCTTTGTTGCCACTTCTATAAAACGGGAGCCTGGGACTAGCTGCTGGCAAGGTCCTCAGTCAGGCTCACCTGGCCTGAGAGAGCCACAGAGGGGTCCCCAGCACCCACCGCAGGCTAGCTCAGCGGATGTCTTTGAGGGTTTCTTGGGTAATTGACCTAATATGTCATCTTGTGCTGTGCCCAGGGGATCCCCATAAATTCAGACCTTCAAACATAGTTGCACAAAAGGAAGGCAAATGTGAACAAAGCCTGGAGGACTGATGGCTTCACCCCACTCCCGCCCGCAGCCAGGGCTCTGCAGGGCTCAGAGGACAGAGAGGCAGCCCATAGCCCTGGAGGGCTGCTCTGGGTCCAAGGCTGTCCCCACAGGGCTACCAGTCTGCGGAGCACCCCTCCAGGGCCCAGAATCTGTGCTCTGTCCCTCTCTGGGTGACCTCTCCCACTTGTCCCTCTGTTCCTGAGCCCCTGCTGCGTCCCCATAAACCTGACTGACCAGGACCCAACTCTGCCCGATGGCTTCTCCCCGGTCCTCCTTCCAGGGGCGGTGCCTGCATCTAACAACCCCCCTGTCTCTGCAGCTCTGGGTCACATCCTGAGCAGAAGCCTCTCTAGGGTTCATGGCAGTTGTTGGTAGCAGGTGATGTCACAGGTCAAAGGTTGTTGCCTGGAGCCGTTGGTTAGTCGATCAAGATCAAGCGTCCAGTGGACACTTGGTGTGAGGCACAGCTGCTTAAGGGCTGACCTTTGATAGGGACTGAGGGTGGGGCAGGCAGTGCCCCTGACCTTTCATGTATAATGGAGACCCACGTTAGGAGAAAGTAAGTCTGGGTGTGTAACATAACTATAAATGTAGGTGTCTGTGGGTTCACACGTGCACGTGTGTGCATGTATGTACTTGTGTGTGTCAGTACCTGCAACATGGAGGTGATATGTGCTCTCGTGTAAACAGAGCACTTAGCTCTATGTTTAAGGAGACACAGAAGTGAACTACTGATGCTGCTTCTGTAACTCAGTATAAGGATGTCTCACACATGCAAAATGAAGAGGTGCATCCTCGTCTTCATAATGAAAGCCAGGAAATAACCTGTGTGTCTCATGATAAGCCACCATCTAGGGAAATTATGGTGTGTCTGCTCAAAGGGACTTTATTTACTGTGGAGACATTTTAACAACAGAAAAATGTTTACATTAAACAGTTGAAAATCTGGGCATGGTGGTTCATGCCTGGAATACCAGCAATTCAGGAGGCTGAGGTAAGAGGATCGTTTGAGGCCAGAAGTTCAAGCCCAACCTTGGCAGCATAGCCAGGCCCTGTCTCTGAAAAATAAAAAGCTGAAGAAAATACAGACTTCTTTCCTGAGCTGCCAACTGTTTTAAAATCCACATAATTGGCCAAGCTTGGTGGCTCACACCTATCATCCCAGCACTCTGGGAGGCTGAGGCGGGTGGATTGCTTGAGCTTGCAGGGTTGAGACCAGCCTGAGCCAAAGTGAGACCCCATCTCTAAAAATAGCCAGGTGTTGTGGCGGGTGCCTGTGTTCCCAGCTACTTGGGAGGCTGAGACAAGAGAATCACTTGAGCCCAAGAGTTTGATG